AGCAGGAAAGGTCACAGCACTTTCCAGAAGCATTACAGAGTTTTGGAAAGTGCCAATGGACTGTCACCTTTCACTTCCTCAGTAGTGAGATGATAGTTAAAATGCCGCTTTCTTGAGCCAGCAGAGTGTCTGTTCACCGCCCCCCAACCCCCGGCGATGGGCAGATTGAGGGACTTCCTAGGCCCCTGAGAGCTAAGCACCAGGCGTGGATGAGGACAGCCTCTTCCTGCTGGCTTTGCTTCTGGGGACCTTGGCTACCGTGTGTTCTTTTGTCAGGGTCAGTCAGTCACCTGGGAGCATCTGAGCCTGGTCCCATTCCCAAGTGGCTTTGCAGTTGGGCCACTTTCCCTTTACAGATCTCAGATTTTCATCTGCAAAATGAGGCTGGTGAAAGGAAAAAAAGTGAACCTTTAGAATTAAAAAAAAAAAATTTTTGTACATTCCTTCTGCCAAAATCCTATCTCTATCTCTGGCTTTTATCCAGGCAAAGCAAAATAAGACAGCAAAATCAAAGCAGCGACATTCTTGCTGAAACTTGGCTGAAATCAGTTTGATTTGTTGTTTTACTCTTGCTTGGAGACTGAGGTAGAAGACAGAGAATGCAGAAGTCCTAAGTCTTGGGCAGAAAAGTTGTTTGTACCTGTACTCTCCTGTTTCCCCTGAATCTTCCTGAGATGGCTGTGACAGGGTCCGCGAGTATTTAGACAAGACACTTTCTTGATGAAATGATAAGGGAAGGACCCATTTTTTCCCTTATCACCCAGCCCAAACCTCACCCTGCCTAGTTATGTGTAACTACACTAGGAAAAAAGTGTCACCCCAGCTAGCTTTGCTCCTGGGAATGCTCTGTCTGAACATGCTGCTCTTTAGGATAATCACATTTATAGAACCTCTGTGACATTCTCAACACCAAGCATCATGGGAGGCCTAAGAAATGTGTATGAGACCTATTCCACTGTCACAACTTATAGTCTAAAGGCAAGGGTATGGGACAAACCAAGAGAGATGATAAACAGAGCCCTGGCATATGGGATTAAGAGTTTTCTAGCTAGAATCTGGACCCATACCATGGGAAATTGGGGGGTTCTGGGGGTCCCAAAACCAGGGTTCCAGCTTTACTGGTGACCCACTAGGAATGTGAGTGTGAGATCCAGCTCTGGTTTGTATCCTGATCTTCCTAATGAAAAGAAGAGTCAGATCTCTATGTGGTGAGAGGTCCCTTTTCTGAACAGATGGATTTGAGCACTCGCCAGGGCTTGCTAGAGAAGGCACTCCTACACTAGGTGTGATGACGGATGAGATGGAAATTCTTCTTTACTCAGAGGTTTACTGAGGACACAGAGCTTATTAATGAAAGAGACCTGTGGATTAAAATGCTGCAGATAGGTCCCCCAGTCCCTTTTGCAAGGAACTGTAGCCAGCAGGGGCCCACACTTTGGCAAGAAGTGAACAGAGTTCAAATACCAGTGAGGCAAGAGCCGTGAAGCTGAATGAAAGGGAATGGGCAGCATCATGCCAGAAAGATGGAAGTAGATGTTATCCAGTCCTCAGCCCTTGAACAAACTTGGGGTTCAGCTACTGTACATTCTGGTCTCCTTTCCCTCCACCAGTCCTCTACCAGGTAGAACTCCAGGCCAGCTCTTAATTCGAGTTTGTTTGCTTAAGATTCAAAAGTGGATAAGTAAAATAGACCAGTGGAAAAGATAAGTCCAACAGAGAGGTTCCAGTGTGTGGAGAAACGTGGTCCATCAAGGGCTCCTGAGACAAACCATACACTTAACAGTAACTGAGGATTGGTCTTCCTGACCAGACACAGTGAGAAAGAGGAAAACCTAGAAACGTGCTCTTCATCAGTCTGCCCGCTGGGCTGGGAAGTCTACTATCACATAAATAGGCACCATCTCCTTGGAGTGGATCCAGCTGTTGACTGTAACCAGATTCACTCTTTGCTTACTAGATTTTTCATTATCACCGTAAGATGAACCCCTGGCTCAGCCACAGATGTGAACATAAATGGAGTTGATTGCCCAGAAAGTGAAAGAAGACTGATCTTTTCTGCTGGATACTTGTTACTGGAACACCATGGCTGGGCTCTAGCTACTTTACGTAACTTCCCAGCAGTGCTTTACATAACTTCCCTCATCATTAGTAACAGTCTGTGGACTTTCTGTTGGGGGACTCTGCTGGGCTTCTTTTTGGAACATTTTAAAATATTTGGGTGTCCATGCCTATCTCAACCAGGACCAGACCTTATGGCTTACTAGGGAGTAATAAACGTTCACTGTCTCAGTTGGCAACGGTCTTGTTGATAAAATAGGGCCCGAGTTCCTTTATCTGTTCATTCCGAATGGGATGGAGAACCCAAATTTCTGCTCAGATTTCCTCTTGAGGAGGGGCCGGGCATGCTGTCCCACAGCCACATCCCACATTGTAGCTTCTTAGACAATAAAAAGCATCCTCCTCAGCTGTCTGAGGGCTGCTGAGGAGCGATGAGGAAAAGCAAGTCTCCCCGAAAGGTTCTCACAGAGCAGGGACTCTGTTATCATCAGAGATATGTTCTTTCTGTGTGCTCGGTGGACACCTTTGACCCTGTTCCCTTCACTCGACAAAGGAAGCAGTCTTCTCTCAGGGTTTTACACAGAGGACATTTTTGACTTGGGAAGTGTCAGGCTCTTACAAGCAAAAGATCCTCAAGTTAGGGAAAATTGGTGGGAGATGGGAGTAGGGAGTGCTTGGGCCTTGTAAGGACATGTCATGTGGGTTAGTACAGCTTAATGGCTTAAAGCAGGGACTAGATTCAGACCTAGATTCAAGTCCTGACATCATAAGAAGTAACATAACATATTATTTAGCCATCCTAAGCCTAGTTTCCTTATCTATAAAATAGAATGGTGCTATGTCTTGGAGGTGTCAGGGTTTGGGGGGAACCTGTGAAAGTGCTTAGCATAGGGCCTGGCACACGGAGGTGTCAGGGGGCAGCCATCAGGAAAGGTGCAGGCCCAACCAGCGAGGGGCAAGTGCAGATAACTGAGGTCACTCTGCAAAAGCACGTGATTGCTTGATGACATAGCTTTTGCCTTCCATCTTTTGCTTCCATTTAGCCTGTTCGTTTACTCTGTCTTTTCTGTATCTCCTGGCTCCCAAAAGTTTGTGTGTGCCATGACACCAGGTGGTTCTGATTCTCTTGACTTTTCTTAGTTCACATTCTAACATGTGGGATCTGGCCCAGCTCCTCTTTCTGTACCAGGTCGCAGAAGTCTCCATCCAACCCTTGGACTGGCTGCCCTTGGGTTACATGCTCATCTTGGTTCAGTCAGCTGTAGTCAGGAGGGAAGGTCCCAGATCCCAGGATCTGTGGGCCTGGTAGACTGACTTGGGAATGGGCAAATGGTGGCACAGTGGGGCATTTCTAGTACTGCGAAGAGAGGAAAGACTGTTTCACCTGTATCAGGCTTGCTTGAAAGGCTTCTACTTCATAGCACATCCTAGACCAGAGCTCATGGGCCCTGCGTAAAGGACCTGGAAGGTGCTGTTTCTGTATCTTGCAAAAGAAGTAATTTGTTACCTTCTAGGGTGTTATTCCTCCTTTCTGTCCCAGCTCCACTTTCTTTTAAAATATGTAACTCTGGCCATAATTCTATTTATACACACATACACAACGACTTCTGTCAGCTTGGTCCAATTGCCTCTTCAAAACATAATTCCACCCCTTAAGACCAACCGTCCACTGAAGAATGCAGAGAGATACAGTCAAATCAGAGAGGCCTCAAAAGTACTGTGCTGCAATGCTCTTAAAATTGCCAGGTTACATTTCAAATAAAATATTTGGTAAAACCTCATTGGGCTACGTGGCTTTGTGTCTGCTATTAGCAAAGCCAGTATTTACTGTAAAATCTTGAAGCTGGTCTAAAAATTAAGCTTCCCAAGAACTGGGGCCATGTCTTATTTTGTATTCCTTCTGGT